GCGAACGGACATCATGGCTGCTGCACGAGAGATGCGACACAAAAGAGCTGGGTCGGTCGAGGTCCCACGAGAAACTAGAGCCAAAGCAATAAAGATGCGATGGTGCTTGTGAATCAGAGCTGCATCTCAACATGTCACAGATGTCGGCGACATTTGCTCACACTGCGCCACAGAACAAATATATATATATACACACACATATGAATACATACATACATACATACATACATACATACATACATACATACATACATACATACATACGCATGTATACACATCAAACTCAACGATAATAAAAAAAATCACATACTATAATCTACTGTCATGGGCTGTACTATACTGTAATATACAGCGATGTAACAGAACATAACTGAAGATAACATGTCCGCTGGCCAAGTTGCAATCTGCGAGGCATTTTCCAGGAGGAAGGCGCTGACAACAGATTCACCTTCCGACCCCGGGTTTAGGGTTCAGGGTTTAGGGTTCAGGGAGGGCCACGGAACCAAGCAACAAGACTCTCGCATGAAACGCCTCCCTCAAGTCAAGGTAAAGGTAGCTTGGATGAGATCCTGATGGGACCCTTGGTATGCGGAACCCTACAAAGCCTTTTCGCAGGTGCCTCCTTTCTATTTTTTCCTCCTCTGACTCACCAGGCCAAGAGGCTTTGGCACTGCGAATTGAACGGATGGTAGGTGGCCAAGTGCATGGGCAAAGTCTTGCGGGCCAGGCGCGACTCCTTTCGGCAATCTCGGTTGACACCATGCAAGCCCCGGATTTAAACCGCCCTGCCTAAGTAAGGATCATCATATGGATCTGAGTATACTGTACAGGCGGACAATACTTGATCAGGGATCTGCATTATGAATCTTAGGTACGTTAGACATGGCAGTGACAACAAGCTCCAAAGAGCATGAGAGCAGAGGCAACTGTGGCCGAGCATGTGGTGTAGGCAGACAAAACGAGGATGATGAGTGAGAGGAGGACAAGACGTAAACAGAGGACGGTGAAGAGAATGATGTTCATTGACAGGTCGTGATGATGATGATGATGATGATGACGATGACGATGATGATGATGATGATGATGACGATGACGATGATGATGGTGGTGATGGTGATGGTGATGTGATGGTGATGGTGATGGTGATGGTGATGGTGATGGGTGATGGGTGATGGTGATGG